ATTTTTGCTTATACTTTTTTCAAGTCAATAATGCTTGTTACAGTAAATACAGTAGGAACTCTTATTCAAGTATAGAAAATACACTAAAGTGACAATGTGAGATGAAAAGATTTTCAAATACTGTAGAAGAATTGGATTTGCAAAGCTATTAGAGTATTTATGATCACAATGAATTTCTCTAAGGCTGTGGCCTGCGCTCTTCTGTAAAACTAACCGAAAATATATTATATCTTGATTTCTTATGAAAAACAACTCACTATAAAATTAACTGCAAAGAATCTAGATACAAATGAGGAGTACCAGGAAATCTATTTCACATAAAAGGCAAAAGATTTCCAGAATACAGTAATGCAGTTGGTAGCTAAACTGTAAACATCTTAATGATATTTACAATTAACTACTGAAAAAGCTGCTGAATGAGAAGAGTAGGATTAATATCCATAGAAGAAGACAGAGTTATTTTTCTGCATTAAAGCTAGGTATGCTCTCTGGAGAAGGTAAATAAAAATAATGCAAAGAGCATAATCAGCCACTTGCTCCTTCCCTTTCTCCCTGCCAAAACAAACAATCTGTCCTCTAATATAAAATTCTGAAGCTGTTGGTAGTATAGAAGACGACAGTGTACAAATCTGTCTTTCCCTTCCGCTAAACCCTAATGAATACCTGATTTAGGACATGTCTCCAAATACCTCAGTCAGAGTAATGGCTGTAATGCAGCCAGAATTGCTCTTAGAATTTTTTAGCTCTTCGCATGGAGTATCCACGATTCCTAGGTAACTTACATACATTTGCAAAATCAACTTTCACATTTATTTATACTTTGAATTGAAGGATATGATGAACCGTCTGTCTATTGTGTTCAGCTGAAACACTGAAAAGTGGCTTAGTCCTTTCTCAGAGTAGAAAACTGAGGAAAAGAGCAAACATATAATCTCAAAGAAAAAGAAGTGCTGTGTAATTTCCAAAGTAAACAGTAGCACTGCAGTAAGACTGCAGCATGGCAAGACATGAACAAATTTAAATCACCATGTACAAATTTAAAGCACCTGATAGCAACTTAAGGCTCTCTTAGATCTTGAGCTGCCTGTCCAGTTAGGAGATATTTAACAGATTTGTTTTTCATCAGAGTTGGGTTAATTTGTACTTAAAGTAAGAAAATATGTACAAAATTTTCCAAAACCAAAACTAAAGAAAACAAAGCTCCATAATAGTGTTTTCCCTTTGATTCACCTATTAAGCCTTACTGGCAAACAACACATACTCAAATATATAGATTTTAAAGCAAAAAAAGGAAAGCATTTTTTTTTAAATGATGCAGCAATGTTAACACAACAGTATGAACCTTACTGTATTTGTCCTTCTGGTTCTGACAGCAGCATGTTCCGAGCGGCCAGCAGAAGCCTCAGTTGCGCTGAACTTTGGAACTGGACATTCTCCTTACACGTCTCACCAAGAGCAGGTGTTTTAACTCCTCTCATTTATTTTACTGACTGTCTGGTTTGTTTATTGGCATGGTGGATTTTTTTAAGTGATTTTGTATAGCTTTCAGTCAGGAGCTGATGAGATATGTGTGATATGTGTATTTTGGGAAAGATTTCTTTTCCATTTTTTTTTCTCCTTTTTGGTAAGTTTCTTACAAAGCTGTGAGAAACTCACCACCTCAAAAAACCCACAGAACCAAAACCTGATATTCGGATTAAGAGAAAGTCAAATAGTTGAGTAACTATCTAACAGATCACAGTAGGCAATCTTCCAGTCTGTTAGATTGCCCAGTGTCACCTCCCAAACAAGAACTTTCTGGGAAACACAAAACACTGTCACTCAAATCTTTTCCTATAAATCTATTGGGTGTCAGACTCCTTTAGGCATTGAAATAACAGCATAGTGAACTCACACACCACCATCAACTACTGTTAATGTAGTCCATACAGTAAAGATATATTACTGAAAGTTAGTTCAAAGTTGTTTTCCGTAGGACTAAACTATACTAACAATATCTTAAGAGCAGATTTTGTGGGAGTTTTCCTCATTTACCTCAGGTAATAGTCCAAAATGACAAAATATTGTCCAAAATTGCATATTGCAGTCTCAATTCATTGAAGCCTAAAATATTACTAAATTGACACTTGAATCACAGTAATTTCATTTCTAAAATATGAACTTAAAGTAGGAATTCAATAAGAATGTTTCCATTTTTTCCCATGGGATTTAGAGCAAGCTCCCTGGTAGGAACTATGAGAGTAAGAAAAATTGTTTTGTTCTTCCATCTGTCATAGTGATATTTGACTTCGCATTTACTTAAATAATAATGTCCACTTTATTACAGCCCTTTGACTGCCTAAAACCAATAGTCAGAAATGAACAAATTATAATAGTGTTTGTTTCTGTAACCTTCAAAACATGGACTTCATGCTTTCGTTTAGACACACTCCCTTGAAAGCAAAAGGAAGACAGTGCTCCAACAATATTTCCAAAGCTCTCCTAAAACATCACCATCATAAACACTGCTTCATCCATGTCTCAAGGGCAGACTTACACTGATACTTTCACCCCTTACAAACATAAACTGCTAGAAGTAAAATGCTAAAGGCCATGTTGTCCTCCTTCATCTCCTTCCTACCATTCTTGCGCACCTCACAAAGCTCAAGAAACTTTAGGCGCTATCTCAGTGTTTAAGAGAAACCACTGAAACAGCGGCACAGTAAAACTCACACCACAGGCAAAAAATTAAAGAGAAAGCCCTGTGATTCTAGAGAGCAGTGATGCTTATCATCACCTTGTGTTACTGTCAGTCATGCTAAAAGAGGATGACTCCCCCCAGCAAACTCCAGTGGCAAAGTAATCATAATTTTTCTTTTCTAGTGCCTTTATCTGATGACTGCAAAAATACTCAACAAACATTAACTCATTTCACCTCAGAATACTTTGTGATGCTGGCTAAATATCACTACAGTCTACATATGAGATAACTGAGTGCTAGTGTTGGTAGTCCAGTATTGCAGCTAACAGTAAAGACGCTCTCCTTACTATGAACCAGTGGAAGAAAATACCTAAGGGGAAGATTCTAAAAGTTTCTGAGAGCTTGATTTATTATAGCATGATAAGTGTGTGGGCAAGCCTAAACTCTGGGAAAAACATAATACCAAAAGTCCCCAATTGTTATTATCTTTGTGAGCTATTCTGCTCCAGTCTCTATTTCCAACTCCTTGCCCATGTTTGCACACAGCATCCTGACAAAGAGAAGAATCTTTCTTACTGCAACCAGGGCCAGGCTTTCTATTAAACAAAAAACAAAAAAAACCCAATAGTAGTATGTGTGTGGAGAATCTGGAATCCTTCCCAGATTTTAAATTTCTCTTTTTACACTTTAGAGGCTGTGGCAAAACAGAGATGACATGAGAATTATTGAATTATATTTTTTACTGTAATTCTCTTTTTTCCTCTCCCTCTCTCCAGCAAACTCAAATCAAAACTGGTGGCTGGCTGCCTGCAGAAAGAATATGTCTACAAATCTGCAAAGTGCTAGCTGTTGTCCAATCTTTTTAAACAAAGAACATACCTAGACTTGGACTGTAGGACAAAATCAGTACAGCCTAGGTCCATAGGAAATTTTTTTTCTTCCGGTTACTGCTTTTGTGCTTAGATTCATCTCTCTTCCTAGTATACAGAACAATAATTATTTGGATTTTATTGTTTTCAGTACAGTTGTAACAGTTTTAAGAATAGTTTTTGAGATATGGGTTATTTTTAAACATATAGGCAATGTAAAAAGTGATATTCTAGCAAGTTTCAATCCACTCTCTTTGGTGGCGAACGACGGTAGCGTATCAAAGGGAACTGTTAATGCCAAGTTTTCAGCACAGTCTGTAAGAGCCAATCTTGTAAAACTTCTATGAATGGACAATTTTCATCAATGGGATTGGTCATATATGTAAGTATTCTCATTTTCAGATTAAGAGTTTACATTCTCAAAAGAATTGTCGAAGAATTTTCTGTGGTAACTCAATAAATGCTTGAACTTCAAAATCAAGACTGTTTTTAAGTTAAAAGTATTTGATAACTCTTAAATTACACATACCACAGAAAAACCATAGTATATCCCCTAAATAAGAGAAATTTCTCTGTCACTGATAGTAACATCTGACATATCGTAATTAAAAATTTTTAAAAGAGTAATTCCAGGATATAAACCTAGGCATTTTTTGCAGGATGACAAAAGTTCTAAACATTATCTTTTGTGTATAAATAAATCACTGGATTGCTAGTCTCTATTAGGCTACTAGCATGAGCCATGCTTGAATCAATAAAATAGGTTTGGCTACTTTCTGCATCATAATATAATCCCCAGATTACAAGTAATACAAATAATACACTAAGAGGAAAATAATAATATATAGTCAATAAAAATACCATATTCTATTGGAAGAGATCATTGCTGTATTTATTATCCTTTTAATGCCTTTTCATACTTCTTTATTGTCTTACCTTATGATATCTAAAACACAAAGGAGACTCACAAAAAGACCACTCTAGAGACAGAGTTACTAAGAATTGTGGCTGTGCGTTAGACATGAAGTGAGAACTGCTCCTGGAACCTCTCTGAAGGTAAATCCTCTACCATTACACAGGATTTTACCTGGATGCAGCCATCATAGGTTCAGATTTTTAAATTAACAGTGCTGTGTACAGGTGTAAAAGAATAAGTGACTAACACTATCTCAGGGTAAAGGTATGTCATTTTTAATAACATAGGAATACATAGGAATACCATGCCATGTTTTGGGTACAATGCAAGTGACAGTTAAAATATTTTCAATTTTACAAAAATGCTCACAAATTAAATTACAATTCTCTATCAACACTGTAGTGCTTAGTTAAAAGACAGTATGGTTTGGGATTGCAAAAAGTATTTCCACAAGGAGATGAGGAAACAATCATGAATAGTAAGCCAAACACTACAGAAGTGTCATCAGAAATAAAAATTTTTAAAAATTACTTACGCCTGTCGGTCTTTGTACATCTTGTTAACTTTCTCCCATTGCAAATTAAGCTGAGTCAGCTTTTCCTGTATCTTTGCCGCCTCTCCCGGTGTAGCACTTTGCAAAGCTGGTAACTTCTTGCTGTGAATAACCTCTATATGACCCGACAATCTCCCCAGGCTATCTTTAATGCTCTGTAATATCAAGATTTCAGAAGAGAAAAACAAAACATCAGCCGTTGTTTATGAGCAAAAGAAAGAGGGAAAAAATGCAAAATAAACAATAGCCTTGACAATAATAACAGTTTTACCATAACCACGTAATAATGACTGAATGTCCATCCTTCCTTGGATATTCAATAAACTATAGGAAAAGGTGATTGATAGCTGGAGGAAAATCAAAGAGCCATTAACTTAAGTCACTCATTAATTCCCCAGGAAATAACCTATGCCAAGTTTACGACTGTTTTAACCTCATTTCTTCATAAGAAACTAAACAAAATCCCATTTTACAGACTCATTTTTAAGAGTCTTCTTCAATTATTTTGTTGTTTGTGCTCCTCTTTAATACTTGTTTCAGCACATGTTACACAGCTATCAAAGTAACAGCGTGAAAAAATATCTTATCGGGTATCACTGGGTTTGTGTTTGGCTGGATATTCACAACCCAGTACTTACCATCCTACCTGTAGTACTTTATTCTTAGTAATGTTCAGTTCTTTATGTTTCAGAAAAAGATAAAATACTTCACAGTACACCGACTAGTTGCACAAGGCTGCGTGTTGGGTAACCAAGAGGAAGAAAAACTGAATTTACTCTAGGTCCTCAACATCTGTAAAAAATCTGAAAGCATTTAGAACACTACATATTGTCAATGGCCATTAAATAGCCACCTACCACTCCATTCAGTTCCATGACTGAATTATACAGATTCTCTTTAAGCTCTATAAAGCACGATGTAAATATGCTGTGTATTTCTGTTTGGTGAACTTGGCGGGGGTTCAAACTCCCTACTTAATCTTTCAGAATAATCTGAATAACTGAGTTGTTTAGAAAATCCAGCACTGAGCAAAGATATCATCATAAGCGGTGTGTTGACTTAAGGATAAAAGCATTAAAAGTAATAAAAAGTCATTAGCAGAGACTTCCTCCCTGTGAATCTATATTGATGAAATGAAAGCCTCAATCAGAGGCCTGCCTGTTGCAGTTCAGTCTATCATCCAAACAGCCATAACTTGGTACTTTCTGTGATTTCCTTGTCCTTTATCAGAAAGAAGACACAAATATTTTTTTGTATCAAGCAAAAAACATGAGTTACATAAGCTTACCTTTCATCCTCACATTAGGAATATTAGAAATAGCAATTAATACAGATTTTGGAGGAAAAAACATGCCTTTTGTGCAACCAATTTATATAGCTGTTGTTTCTTCACAATGTTAAAGTCCTGGTAATATACATCATATGTAACATTACCAGAGAAGAAACACAAGCAAAATGAATGTTTCTGAAATGCACTTTTATTATTAATTCTTTAAAGAAGGAAAATAATCTCTTGCAGACCAGTTAAGACATCCAATTAAACAAAAGTGTGTCACATTTACTGATTTTCTTCAGCTAAATCAAAAAACTGAAATGAAAGTCCCTTCTTTTGAAAAGCCTTGGCCATTATTTCTTACAATGGTGAAATTTCCCTTATACTTCTTATTGCCTGAATAAAATGAAAAAAAAGCATGAAAGAATTGTAAAATGTTTTGGATTGATTACTGCACCAAACTATTTCTAGTCTAAAGCTATACTTTCTTTCTCTAAAGATGGTTACATTGGACTCTCTCCTTCGCTCTAATGAAAGGTTAACAAAAAGGACAGTTTGTGCGTGTTAAACACTGATTCGGATGGTGAAAAGAAAGCTGAGAAAAGCTTGGATCAAATTATACGAAGAAACCAATAAGCCAGCAAATCACTAAAAGTCTCAGATAATTCTTAAGATAGATTCAAATAGCAGGTGAAAAACAAGTATCTCTTTACTCCATTCAGAGTCACAGTATTTAGTGATTTCTTAGCATTTCCACCTTTTAATGAAATAGTCATTCAGTCCTGCATATGTCTCATTGAAAGTGTTGTACAGAGTAAGGGATGCTCTTGGGATAAATTTCTACATATTCAGCTGTTCTCCAGCAACCTTTTTAAACTCCCTATATTTCCAATGCCATTCTGTTCCTCATTTCTTCTGAAGTATGTAAGCCTGAGACCAACTACAAGTTGAGAACTCGCAAGAACAACTGACCAAAGATTCTTAGTCTTGTTAAACACAAACATATTCTTCAGTTGCTGCATGCACATCTGCAGTAGCTTGGTCAGAGACATAAGGGAGAATGCTGATTTGACAGAGTTATGAGAGGTATAAATTGTTGGTTTGTATGTGAACAACTCTTTCATATTACCAGCTTTTTTGAAAGGAGGCAGGGATCAAAGGATGTTTGGTTATTTTGAAGTAAGCAGAAAAATAATGAGTGGTAGAAAGGAAAACAAAAAAAGAAAATTAAAAATGCGCTGTAACACGCTGTCAGTGTGGTTCAACTCCATGGCTAGAATCTGATAATTCTCTTTCACCATGCACAAAAAAAACAAACAAACAAACCAGGTTTGTGTTATAATGTACCAGAAATAGCTGAAAGAGCATTAGCATAAGTGGACTCTTCCTTGATCTATTGCTATCCTTGTTATTGCAAATGCATCTATCCAGAGTGCGCTAGCTACTCTTTCACATGATTTGCATGATATGGAGAGTGTGCACTGCATATTCATGTATTTTTTTCCCATGGGTTGTAAGTTATAAGAATGCTGTAGTTGTTTAGGTGCAACACAATTCAATCATTATACACAGCATCCAGTGAAGGTATCATTAAAATGAAATAAAAGCTGTACTAAGCATTGACAAGCACAATATTCCATCATGTTGATATGACTTTCCCACATCTCTGCTAACAATTTTAAGTGAGTCTCAGATATATAGTTTGTGTTTGGTAACACAGATGAAAAGTACAATTGTCTTTTATTAGTTTCTCCCAGAGACAGAAACACAGCTAGCTGCACAACTCAATTTTGAAACAAAAGAATGATAAAACATGTTTTCATCTGTTTCAGCCACAACTATACAAAAAAGGATAACTTTGCTTGTTCAGTGTCCTTCAGCTCACCTAATATGAAGGATATGCATCAACTCAGTACCAAAAGGATGAAATGAAGTTCTGATCCTGCAAACTTCTGCTCATTGTTAAAATCTCACTTATACAAGCCGAAGTGCAGAAAACATTCTTGTACTAACATCTTTAACAGCTAAAAAGAGAAAAGTTCTTTTGTAATAGTTTGAGTTGTCTCCCTTTGTAACCTTTCTAAAGGCTAAAAATTTCCAATAATACATTTAAAAAAGATATTTATGCCATCATATCAGAAAGGGAAACTATGTGTTGAGTCTAGTAATCACAATTTTTAAAAGGCATTTAAATGGTATTTTTACTTAGGAAAACCTGATTTTACTCAAGATTTTGCCTTTCATCTAGTGTTTACTACTATTAGTGAATAGACGATCAGAGGCTGTATTCCTTTCTCTTTTCTGATGCTTGTGGTTTCAATGGCTGATAGTCGGAAATAATGACACCTGAACTTTAGATCCTGTAGATAATACTCACTTACTAAAGACTAAAGATCACACCCCTGAATCACATTGTTAAAAATATACATATTTTGGTTTTATGCTTGTTTTTGTGCTTGATCTTTTAAATAGAATTTGCTTTTTATATATTCTGCGCTGGACAATTCTTGAATTAACTCAGTCATGAAATGAATAGTGTTATGCTTGGAGTTTAGCAAGCAGAGTGAAAGCAAACAAGAAGTAAGCCAGCTGCACAAAGGAAATTGTTAAAAAGAGACAGTGGCTTGCACATTCTGTTACCTTCCATTTCTATTCATTATTCCAATACATGATATTTAGGAGGACTTTCCCGCCCTAAGTCTGTTAACTTGCATGCTTTTTGTACAAAGTAAATAATATAAGAAACAGTATTGTACCTGATATTTTACACCTGAAAATGACTATGACAACTTTAGAAAGGCTAGAAAATGTTAATTTTAACCCTAATGGGCAAAGAAAGATACAGAAACAATTTCAACAGTTACAATTAAAGAGAGGTAAGAAATAGCTCTTTTTTTTTTTTTTGTAAATAGCACATTAAGACATAATTGTTAACAATTCAAAAGTTAAAGGTTTATAATGAAAGCAGATTTTCCCACATTATTGCTATTCCTAAAGCAATAAAATACGAGAAAATTGGAATTATCAAATACTATGCTAATTCTGTTTGGATTCAATATCTTCTGCCATGTGTTCTATCTCTGATAGAGGCTGTTACAAAATGATATTCAGGCAGTAAGAATTTTACTATTAAGGTAAGTATCTAGAAATATAATTTCTGTGCCACAGGAATTTAAGTCATGGACCAAGAAATCTGTTTTCTGTGCATATTTGTGCATATTATCCAGCTAATCAAAAACTAGTGCTCTAAACATATACTTGAAAAAATAAAAAGCTTTAAGTCCCACTTTACAGCAGAAAAGCTAAAAAAATTAAAAGTTTTGGATGACAGCTTTCACATTTTTTCACATTTCCTGTCCTTCCATTTCTCTTTACTCCTCAAGTCACAAACCTATTCACCCTGGAGCAATCACCAGGGGAAAAAAACCTGAGACCCATAATCCAGAGTAGAGCATGCAAAGGTTCTGAGACTATATTGGGTATGAACAATCTGGTCATTACTTAGAGCTGTCAGAGACCTGAGTAGCCTGCAAGGAGCAAATCTATATAGAGAATATCAAAATGATGCTTTGGCAGAGGCCAAGTCAAAATTAGGCATTAATTTCGTTGGGATGGTAAAAAGCATAAACCTAACACACACACACAAAAACAAAAACAAAAACAAAAACAAACAATGTGTCAAGTGTCCTGTCCCTCGGAAATGACAATTATGAAAAGTATGTCTTTTGATAGTTTCAGTTAAACTTGGCAAACTTTTTTTTTCACTATTCATGTTTCCTAGAATGGAATGGAATAAATATATTGCTCGACATTTGTACAAAAATGAAACACAAGAGATGTAAGACAGACATTCAGCAAAGGAAATGCCAGTGCTGTTGATTA